TTCTGCTTTATATAACTCTGCATGTGAACTGGCCTTGTGGCCATTTGCTTGTGCTCGGACTGCGTGGTGACGTTGTGATCCACCCTGAGCTTGACCTTGCTTCGTTCTCTTGGTTGTCCCCCACTTTGCCTATGGGGGTGTGTCAGAACTATGCTCTAGGCTGTAGTGGGGCACTCCTTATGGGGTACAGCCCAATTAGGTTTTGCTATACAAACCCTGTACTGCTGCCATTCTAGTCATTCATTCCTTCCTACATTCTGACATCCACCGCCCCCACCACCGCCTCCACCGCTGCCACCCCCACCGCCCCTGCCTCCCTTTCCCCTGCCGCTGCCTCGCCTCCCACTAGGAGCAGACGCAGCTCCGACCTCCTCAGCACGAAGGAAGTAAACAGAAGCAGCAGAAGCGACTGAGGGGACAAGGGGGAGGGGGAACACCCCTCAAAGAAGGGAGTGCGAGGAGTGCCACGAGAAGCGCCTACAGCGACTATTCTGGTCTCAGCTGCAAGGAGGTGCTTCTCGAGCGGGTCGACAGTGAGGTATGTGGGGTCAAGGGCGAGAAGGAGGTCCCTGACTGCGCTAAGAGAGTCAGAGAGGCGGGTGACGATGAAGTAGAGAGTGATGTACATGGGAGGGGGGTTCTTGGCTAGAAACTCGGCGGAAAGCGCGGTGCGGTAGCGAGTGTCACTAGTGCGAAGGTGAGTGATGAGGTCGGCAACTGTGGCAAAGGCGGACAGCTCGGGAAATAGGTAGGGCAGTATAAGGCGGCCTAGAGCAGCAGTGGCAGGGGAGGAGTAACGAGCGACTACAGCGTCGTACAGGGCTCTAGGCTCTACGTTCGTCTAACGGCAAGTGGTTGCGAACGGCTAGGCGAGCAGCAGCGTCACGGGTAAGCCACTGTGAGCGAGTCGCACTGTCAGCTGTGTCGGGAGGGGCGAGAGAGGCTCCAGATGTGAGGTCAAACAACGAAATGCCGTCTCTATAATTGCTCAGTAGGTACAGCTGTAGGTCATCGAGCCACGCATCGAACTGTATCGGAAGGCCCTCAGGATCGAACGAGAGTACGCTGAGAGTAGCCATAGCTGGGTGGCGCGAGACTAGCAGGGCGGAGCGTGTGCAGGGCAGAGCAGCGTGCGGCTAGAAAAGGCGGCGCACGGCCAGCAGGGCGGCGCACGAGCAGGTAAGGGCGGCGCACGGGCAGCAGGGCGGCGCGCGGCCAGCAGGGCGGCGCGCGGGCTGTAGTGGGCGGCGCGCGGGCAGGCAGGGGCGGCGCGCGGGCAGGCAGGGGTGGCGCGCGGGCAGGATGGGGCGGCGCGCGGCCAGAAGGGCGGCGCGCGGGGCTGCAAAAGGCGGCGCGCGGGCTGCAAAGGCGGCGCGCGGGCTGCAAAGGGCAGCGCACTGCCAGCAGGGCGGCGTGCGGGCTGCAGACGGGCGGCGTGCGGGCTGCAAGGGGCAGGGCATGTGCGGGGCGGCGCAACGCAGGGCAGGGCAGGGCGTGCGCGGGAGGCGCGACGCAGGGCAGGGCGTGCGCGGGGCGGCGCAATGCAAGGCAGGGCAGGGCGCGCGCTGGCGGCTCGACGCAGGGCAGGGCGTGGGGTAGTGCGGTAACTGCAGTCGGTCACTAGCTAATGGTGGGCCCGAAAAAAAAACGGTCCTAAGGACCTAATGCTCTGAAACCATGTCAGAAACTAACGAGCAGGAATGTTTGTGTTGAGGAAGAATGTGATACAAGTACTAACCCTAATTGGGGCTGTACCCCATATGGGCTAACCCACTACAGCCTACACAATAATATAACAGATTGACAGTCCCAAGTTGCCTAACCAGCAATGAGGCCGCTAAGCAAGCGTTGCAGCTGCCACGAGGATGCGCCGAAGACAATGAGAAATTCTTGGAAAACCCGAGTCGCCATTAGATTCAGATCAAGGATGTCGCTTGCTCTGGGCCCAGAACTTAGCAGGTTGAGGTGGCATGCATTCAGTTTTCAAATATCGAGGTTGAGTCAAATTCCAACAGTTGGATTCAGGGCTACACATCCTTCTGATCTTAAGTGTAAACACATCGTGAGTACGTTGATGTTCAATTACACCGATGGGTTGCGGTACGGAGCAAATCTATAAAGCCGATCTACAATAAGATGGGGTGGGAGAAAGTGAGGCGGTTCTACGTAATCAGGGGAAAAATAATAAGGGAAACAAGGTGGTAAGGAGGTAGGCGAGGGGTTTAAAAGTATACGTGAAATCCGGGTTGGGCGCTAAACCAGCCCGTAAGGAAAGCGGGCTGGCCTCAAAGCCAACCCTTGGATTTTGGGTACTCTGAGTTGGGCCCGAACATCGCTTGAATTCACGGGTAAAAAGGGCAAATGCCCTTGTACCGACAGGCCTTTCAGATTGGGTTAGTTGGGCCATCCAATCCAGCCCAATCTGGTTGGATCGCAACACTTCGTTAGGGTGTGGGCCCAATCGAGTTTGATCGCGATTGATCTGATCGGGTCGGATCTAATCGGGTTGCTTGTGATCGCAGTGCCCGAGCCGCCCGAGCAGAGATGTTTTTCGAAGAAGATTTCCAGCGCCTGCGGAGCAAGCGCTGAACATTTACATCCCAATTTCGTCCCCATTCTAGCGAGATTGGCGACCGTACGTCACCTGGCGAAAATTTTCGTTTCCCTTTAATTTTAACAGTGTAACTACTCGCAAGCGTCGATGTGGGCCCCGATCACATGCAATCAGGTGATCGCCTGTGATCGAGGAAAATCGACTTTGATCGGGGTGAAAATCGGGTCTGATTGAGTTGGGGCGATCAGTTGATCGCGATCAGCTGATTGCCTCTGATTGCATAAAATTGGCTTCCAGGCTTTCTAGATATTATTGATCGCATGCGATCGAGGCGATCAAACACGATTGGGCCCACGCCCTTACACTTCCATTTCGAACAATCGAATGAGACAAGGTTAGTGGTAACTCGTTTCCAGCAGGGTGCCCAAAATACACTCGTTTCGGGTTGGTGATGTGCACCAAGGCGATTCACCACCACATCGTAACTTTCTAGATTCCAATTTTGATTTCGTCTGTGTGTGTACAACGATTGGTACAGTCTGTCTAGAACCAGCACCGGAATGCAGGGTTTTGTTCGTTTTTTTTTTTTTTTTTTTTTTTTTTTTTGAAAATGACATATACATTTATGAGGACAATGCATACATCAAAAGCAGTCGTAACTGAGCGTGAGGGCACTGCACCATGCACTGCCCAGTAATGCATCTAGGGCGGCAGGAACGCCCGCTTTGGCTTGTTCCAGATAGCAGCGAAGTCTGTCGACCACTTCCATTTTTTGTCACCTGTCTCCCTTATCCTCGCCAGCATTTTTTGCTCCGCTTCGAAAACACTCCTGACCCGTTTTCCCTTCCCTGATGTCCCTGGCCGCAAGCTTTTGGCACCCATTGCTCTCGTGTACACTCTCACGTGTAGCCTAAAAACCGACCCAATCCTCCTGAGAACCCTCCGGGCTCTGAATTTCTGCCCTCGGAAAGTTGCTTCACATCTCTCCACCCACAGCTGATGAAAAGTAATCGATGTGAGGGTAGCCTCCGGGAAATCCGACGCCGTTCCGGTTTCCTGGAACAAGAGGTCCCCCAGCGAGGCAGTTGTCCTCCCTGGATTGAGCATGCTCAGAGCACGACGGAGCCCTGAGACAACTGGCTGAATTCTCGGGCAGGAGAAAAGACAGTGTTCGTGCGTTTCCTCCACTCCGCAGTATGGGCATTTTGGCTTGCAGGGTTTTGTTCGTGTACAGACGAAACACTGGCTCTTCTTCGCAGGTTGTACCGGGGTACCCTGCAAAATAGTTTGGACAATCGAGCCCAACAATCCGAGTTTGCAATATATTTCCCTGCCAATGTCCGAGTTTGTGTACTCCTACAACCCGGGGCAACACACCAGGATTTGTTGCACTGAAAAACATGGCCCTCAACCAGCGCGCTCAATGTCCGAAGGGCCAAATTAGGCCGCCACTTCTTCTGTATTGAATTGGCTAAGCACAAACTAATTTCCTACACCTTGTGACACCCCGGAGACTTGAATCTCAAATGGAGACTTTGAATCTCAAATAGACTTCAGCTATTAGAACCTTTCCCTCTAGACTGGCCCGAAGCGTCTGGGAGGAACCCTGATTTGACAAGGGTGTCGTAGAACGAAACGATACGACTCCCAGAGGCAGACGCAGAGATGCCACTTCTTCTGTACATGTACCTGGATTGTCCCACCCACCGCCACCTGGCGTGAAATGGAAGACTGGCTACTAGAAGTGGAATGCCACCAATATGGGCGGCTGATGCCGTCCATCTCTCTCCAGAGTCCCTATGTTTGGAATTGAATGAACCCAACAACACGAGGAAAAACATCCCGGGTGCGTTTGACGTGGTTGAATACGGTCAGTTACGTTTGGGCGCAAATTTGAGCTTTCACCGCTTTAGACCGTTCAGGATGAACCCTTCGAAACGAATCCAGAACAAAAATGTATGATCTAGCCTATGGGTTCTCAAACATCCACTGCCACACCAGCCGAGCATCCGTGCACGCACACGTTGTCATTGTTACCTTCAACCAGAGGGGAGAAGCTCTCTTGCTACTAGGAGCGTTTGGCCAAATATGCCAGGTCACTGTTTTTTGGAGATTGTTCCGGCATGTTCTAGAGATGTCTTATTTTCACGCTCTCCGCAATGGATTACACCGCTCGCACAGCAGCGGCTCATCGTCGCTGTCCTCCGGCAAACGCGCGATCCAGAATCTAGTGTTTCGAGGTGAGTTCGATAGACGTCCGCCGTGAGGCTACATTCGCGCTTCGGAAGGCCGAATGGAGCGCCGAGCTCCGCTCTTCTTTACACCTACTTCCGCTGATACCGCGGCTCTTCCGAGGTATCGACATTGTTCGAACGCCGTCGCCTTGTAGCAGGAGGGGTGCCGTGACTAGGCTCTCATAATGATGATGGCCTGTCACATCGCGTCGATGCTTCGCAAGCGGGGATGTTACTATCGTACAAATGTGACGTCCCGTTGTGTCTCTGTCTGCGCCACACTCCCGCCAGGCCCTGTCTTCGCCGTCCTTCTCGCGCTATGGCTGCTCTCGGGCGTGGCGTTCGCGGCGTGGCTCTGCTACTCGACGCACGCGACGTACCTCGGCGATCGCTACCGCCGCCTCGACACGTGGTGCTACGAGCGCGCCAAGCTCTTCGAGCAACACACGCTCACCACCGTCAGCCAGATTCGGGTGAGCGCTTTCAATGCGCCTCAGGCCATACAGGGGATAGAATGCCCGGCATTCACATAAACGTTCATCCCAAAATGTTGAGCTCTGGGATATGAGTGATTTTTAGGGTTGGGAGCTTCCGGCAGATGCTATGATATGCCATTTTGCAATATCGCCCTCGCACCCACCGCGAAGTGTGCCATACTTGCTCTGCGCTGGCTCTCCAACTCATCACAGCACGAGGCATGCTGAGCTCTTCGCTTTCCTTGTCCACCGCTACGTCAACTTCCCCTGTCTCCCCCCCTGGCTCCCGCTCGTCTGTTTCTTGTTTAAGGCCATCGCGGGGGGAGGGAGTCGGTTGGAGGGAAGGGGTCGATTGGGGGAAAGGGGATGGGGGGGAGGGAAGAAGGGGGGAAGGAGGAGTTTAGATTTGATAAGGGGTTTGATCCAGTGACCAAGAAGGAGGCACATTGGTGGTTTCTGGTTTCAACCAGATGTGTGCATGTTCTCTCTCCATACCACAGCACCATGCATGCAGGCGCACAAGGCTGTGTACGTTTACTAGTTTATGGATCACAGCAGTACACACATCAATCTGACATGCCATGTCATGGCAGTGACGTGCAGTGTCTGTCAGCCAGCCAGTGTACGCTGCTGCCACCTGACTCGTGCTGCCTCGCATCCACCGGCCCACCTTTGGCAGACTCTGGCGGGGCTGGCGTCGGTGATGGGCAAGCCCAGGGGCCACGGCAACTGGACGTGGGACAGGTGCCTCACGGAGCAGCGCTGGATTGCCTATGTCAACAACACCCGATATTCCCGACCGGGTGACACCGGCGCCATGGTCTGCCTCTTCGTCACAGATGCAGAGAGGTCAGTCAGTGGGCCAACTGATGCACAGTGCTAACACTCTCTTCCGCGCTCCCAATCACCCACCACTCAACTGGACTCCGTTCCTCCAAGCACATTCACAAGATCCCTCCTCTGGTCTGGCTCACACCCATCCCCCAGCTCAAAGCCGCCAAATCTCCCGGTCTCCTTCCGTGTGCTTGCCGCCCGGGACACTCCTTCCCTCTGCTGTGTCGTGCGCAGGCGTGCCTTTGAGCGGCAGTACGACAGCCCCATTCTGGACTTCACCTTGATGCGGCGCCAGCAGCAGCCTCTGTACTGCCCCAGGCTGCTCGAGCTTCACTCGTACTGGAAGATCTACCCGCTGGTAGACCTCATGCAGCGTGGCGGTGACGAGCTCGCCTTTCTGCGCAGGACGGGAGACATCATCTTCACCCGTGTCATGCCCATCGGAAACCTCTCCCTCAACCTCACCGGCTTCAGTCAGTCTCCTCCCCCCTACCCTCGCCAACACATCCCATTTTCTCGGCACCTCTCGTTGCTCTCTTCCATTAAATCTCATTGCTTTTCACCTCTGTCTCACATCCCGATTGCGTCGCTGTGAGCAGCCATCGGAGTGCCCATCTTGAAGCATGTGCTGCCACCGGTTCCTTCGGAGCAGCAGGCGGAGGAGGCGGTGCTGGGAGCAGCTGGGGCGAATGTGGACCTCGTGATGATTGCCCGCCACGTGCTGCAAAACGTCTTCTCGCCAGGTGCTGTGCTGCAATTCACGCCGGGTGTTGCAAAGCTTGTTCACCACCTCCCTTTGTGCTGCACCTCACCGCTGCCCCTTGAAGCACCCACATGCTTACATCCCTCAACCAACCAGATGGGCAGCTTTCGTTTTGCGTTTCAAGTTTACCTTCCTTACCCTGTCCGTGCTCCTGCCTCTCTCCGTTCTTGCCTCACCATAATCTGCCTTGAATGTCCCGTCGATGCGCCCTGCATGTCTCTGCCATCCCCCAGACCCCAGCATCACATTCGAGGTGTATGACATCACAGACCCCAAGGGCCCGGCAATGATCTATGGCCCGGGCCCACGCCTTCTGTTCTACCGCGATCGCGACCTCCTACCCATGACCGACATCTCGCCGCCCTACGTCACGCGCCCGTGGGAGGAGCGTTCTATCGTGCCGCTCGACCTGCTTGGTGGTCGCCTGCGGCGCTACCAAGTGTGGTGCCGGTGAGTGTTCTGTGTGCTGCCGGTGAGGGTTCTGTGTGTTGCCAGTGAGTGTTCGGTGTGCTGCCGGGGAGTGCTGTGTAGTGATGGTGAGTGCTGCTACGGCCCTTACTCACAAACACGCCCTTCACTCATGCGTCATCAGATAGTCATTTTGCAAAACTGCCTTCTTCTAAATACTCCGCCGATCAATATCTGTGAGATTCCTTGCCACTTGGTTGGTCCCTTCACTTCACACCACCCAGCTATGTGGAGGCACCAAGCACGTGGGTCTCGTGGGGGATACCCTTCCTGTGGGCGTCTCTTGCTCTCATGGTGACGGCGCTAGTGGCGGGGGTGGCGTGGCAGCAGCGGGTGGGGTACGTGCGCAGCGAGGAGAGCATGGCAGCGGCGGACCAGTTGAGAGCGAAGGCGAGGGCAGCGGAGCGCTCGAAGAGCTCGTTTGTGGCGTCCATGTCGCACGAGCTGCGCACGCCCATGCTCGGCATCGTGGGGCTGCTCGATGCTCTCGAGGACCGCCGCCTCTCTGCCGCCCAGCTACAGGACGTGCGGGCGGCGCGCGCTGCCGCGTACGACACGGTGCGCCTCGTCAACCGCGTGCTCGACCTCTCCAAGCTCGAGGCGCGCCGCATGGCGCTCTGCTGCTCGCCCTTTGAGCCGCGCGCGTGGCTCGAGGAGGTCGTGCTGGGCTACTGTGGGCTGGCGCGGGAGAAGGGCATCGAGGGTGAGTGCGTGCAACACGGGCATTCAACGGTAAGTGCGTGCGACAAGGGCATTGTGAAAGAATCTAAGAACCCTAAAAAGTTGAGTGAGAGAATTGTTGTATTAGCTCAAGAGAGCACAAGGATATACAAAGAAGGAGATCTTGGATATGAACTCCAACCCCACCATATTAGACACCACGACCAAGTGGCCTAGTGGGAGGAAGGACCAACCCAACCAACCATAGTAGGGTGGTGGTGGCCAAACCACCAAAGTTGGCTGCTTCATTCATCACATACGGTAATGATGATTGGGCACCGTCCCCTTGACCAACAAGGTTAAAATGTCACTTGTAGTATATGAAATATTGGTCCACCCCAATCAGAGTGTTTGCTCACTCACTCTACACCCAAAACTAAATCATATAGGTATAAGTATATTCTAACACAACCTTTGACATGCATAAGCAATAGTGCGTGAGTGAGAGAAGGAAACAACTCTTGAATAAGAAGAAAGAGGAGGGCCGAGGCCCAGGAGGCGGAGGAGGGTAGCGTGCGTTAGACTAGGAAGCGCCTTGGTGAAGATATTAGCAAAGTGGGTGGAAACATGTACCTTCTTGACCTCCAAGAGCTCGGCTGGGCCAGTTCCCGATCGATGAAGTAACGAAGCTCCATGTGCTTGTAGCGGCCACGGAAGACAGCATCCTTGGTGAGGTGGATAGTGCTCACATTGTTACACCAGATGGTGGGAGTAGGCTGCGGAGCACCAAGCTCCTCAAGAAGGAAACCGAGCCACCGAGCCATTTAGACCCGCCATGGTCACAGATACAGCTCGAATTCACAGGAGTACAAAATAATGGCCGAGGAGCGCGTAGCAGGCCAGCTGCCGAGGCTGCTACCGAGAGTGAAGCCATAGCCCTGGGAGGAACGCCGGTCAGACTGGCACTCCGTCCAGGGCAACCTCGAGAGGGACAGCGGAGGTAACTCATAACCCGCTTGGCCACCTACAAATAAGAGTGAGGTCATAGTTCTTGGTGCCGCGGGGATAACTCAAAACCCGCTTGGCCGCCTGACAGTGCTCAGTCGTGTGACACACAGTTCAACAAAGCGAGCGAGCACGTGGCGAGTGCACATCATGGCGTACATGAAAGTCTTAACCAGCTCCGGATAAGGGTAGAGGGAGGAGAGACGCGATGGTAAAAAGAGAAGGGTGTGGGGATGAGCCGTGGCAGAGCCATCTCAATATAGAAGGTCTGGGAGAGGGTGATGGTGGAAGCCTCCCGATCACGGGTGATGCCGTGATGGTCATGCCGATTATGCAGGAGAGGCGATTATGCAGTTCGAGTTTTACGCACGTCATCTCAGCCGGGTCATCAGCTACCAGGATCATGTAGTCAACGTAGACATGGATGTAGAAACAAGAGAGGAGCGTGTTGAGGAAGAGGCTGACGTCAGCCTTGGAGGCAGAGAAGCCAAACGCCTGGAGGGTGGAGGATAGCTTCGCGTGCCACTCTCGAAGCGCCTGCTTGAGTCCATATACACTGTGCGACACAGCTCCTGCGGCTGTCGCATGAAGACATGCTCATGGAGATTCCCCTGCCAGATTGCATTGGACACCTCCATGCAGTGGATCGCCGTGCCCATGCGCGCCACCATGTCAAGAATGACACGGATGGTGGGCAACTTAACATGGCGGTGGGCGAAAATGTGTCACAGTAGTCAGTGCCCCACGTGTGCATGAAGGCCGTTGCGGCATAGCGGGCCTTGTAGACCGGCTGCTCCCCTCCCCAGGGATCTGTTTAACACTAAAAGCCACTTTGCCCTCGGTGATGTTGGTAGAAAGCAAGCAACAAGGGCTTCGAAGGTGAGTGTGTGCGACAAGAAATCGAAGGTGAGTGCGTGTGTGGGGGAGGGGTGAGCAGTAGACCTGGGTGGAGATGGGGATTGAGCATGTAGAGCGAAAAGCGAGGCAGAACGCGAGATGCTTTATTTTTGTGGTCTCGCCACATCTCATCTCACACTTACTTGGGCTGGGCTGCTTACGCACGCTCTTTGGCACTCCACTTCTCTGTGGTGTAGATCGTGTCCAAGTGGAATCGACTCACAATATCACTCTCCTCTCATGGTGGTTGACTGTGGTGTGACTGCTGTGTGACGGTGGTGTGATGGTGGTGTGGCAGTGGCGGGCATGGTGGACACGGGAGTGCCTCTAGTGCTGCACATGGACACCATGCGACTCACTCAGGCGCTCAACGAACTCATAGGTCCGCCACTCTACCACCACCATCCATCGCTCCCCCTCCCCCTCTTCCATCCTTGCCCCTTCCACACCTCAACAAATCCATAGGTCAGTCCACCACCACCATCCACCGCTCCCCCTCCTCCTCCCCTTCTTCCCTCCTTCCCTCCTTCCCTCCTTCCCCCTTCCACACCTCAACGAGCTCATAGGTCAGTCAGTCCGTCCGTCCCCTTTTCCCACCTGAACAAACTCAATGCACCCCGTCAACTCTGAGGTCACCACGAACCAACCCCCCCTCACTTTAACCCCGTCCTTTGCCCACTTTCATGTAGTGGATCAGCGCATGATTCCCGACTCTCACAATGCCCTGTTGCATAACAAGCCGTCCCATCTTTTCAAACCCCCACCACGGGCAGACAACGCCATGTGCTACACGACCCGTGGGCACGTGCTGGTGCGAGCGTCCGTGTGCCCTGCCACCACCTCCCTCGAGGACTTTCTCCACCACCACCTCTGTCAGTGCCGCTTTACCCTCCACTCGCTCCACTCGCTCCACTCTCTCCACTCACCGTTCCGATGCATGTTTGCTTGCTGTGGCCCTTGATAACACGATCTGGCTATGTGGCGTCTTGGCTCGATTGCATTGAACTACCACTCGACAATTTTATCCTGTTTTCCTTTTTTTTCATTCCAGACCACTCAACCCTGCTATCCGCCGTGCTTCCCCTCTCTCGAACCCGTCCATCAGACACCCCGTTCCACACTCTTCCTCCTCCTCCGCCTCCGCGCCCCTGGTTCTTCTCCTGGTTGTTCGGCCTGCACACACAGCTGGGGATTCACCTCAACAGAGCCGCTGTGGCGTGCTGGGGGGAGAAAGAAGGGGATCAGGGGGTGCTGGATGAACCTGAGGGTGATGAGGACCCCCCATCCCTGCCATGTGACACACCCGCACCTGCTGCCCTTCCGGAAGGGGAGGAGCAAGTGGGGGAGGCGAGGGGCGGGGGTGAAGGAGATGGTGAAGGAGATGGTGAAGGAGACGGTGAAGAGGACGACACTGGGTGGAGCAGCGGTGGAGAGGAGATGCAGCTGGTGCTGTCGTGTGCCGACACGGGCTGTGGGTTTGACTCCACAGGGGAGGAGCTCTCAGAGTTCAAGGTGAGAGGGTCAGAGTTCAAGGTGAGAGGGTCAGAGTTCAAGGTGAGAGGGTCAGAGTTCAAGGTGAGAGGGTCAGAGTTCAAGGTGAGAGCGTGTGAGACGACACACTGAGTCAGTGTCACTGATGGCAGGCGATTCCGAGGACACACCGAGGACACACCGAGGACACACCGAGGACACACCGAGGACACACCGAGGACACACCGAGGACACACTGAGGACACACTGAGGACACACTGAGGACACACTGAGGACACACTGAGGACACACTGAGGACACACTGAGGACACGGACGCTGGCCATGTGTGTCTCCGTGCAGAGGTGATGTGCTCGTAGTATCCATCTTGCTCTCCCTTACTCGTGTGGAGTCAGTTAAGGGTCTCTTGATTCATCCGCTTATCTGGCTGTCCGTGGTACCCTGCAGGGGCGATCGGAGAGCGGAGGAGCAGGCCTGGGGCTTGTGCTCGTGCACCAGCTGGTGAGCCCTCTCTCCGCGTGCTGCTCCCTCAGTGTGTCCTGTCTCAACCTGTCCCGTCCCGTCTCGTCACTTTGCACTTTCTCCATTCCAGCCTCTGGCTTCACTATATTCCGTTACCATCCACCAAGGCAAAACACCTCCCTCACATCTGCCCCTGCGCCCCCCATGTGTGCAATCCCCCTTCCCACCGCCATCCCCTCCCCCTGCCATGCCCCATTCTCCCCCCAGGTGGCCCTCATGGGCGGCCGTGTTGCCTGCCTCTCCCACCCCGGCACCGGCTCCACCGTCGCTTTCTCCGCCCCCTTCGCCCCAACCCGCCGCCCTCCCGCTCCTGCCATTCCTCCTGCCGCTCCTCCTCCTGCCGCTGCTCCTGCTGCTGCTCCCCCGCACCCTCACCACACGAGCGAGGCGAACGGAAGAGAGGAAGGGGGAGCAGAAGAGGGGGATAAGCGGGAGGCAGGGGATTCGTGGGGTTGTAACACGTGGTTGGGGAATACGGGCGGGCGTGGCAGCAGCTGGAAAGGGGGGAGCGGGCTGCGAGGGTGCAGAGGCAACGGCAGAGACAGAGACAGAGGGAGAGGGAAAGTGAGAGGCAGATGGGAGCAGGGGTTAGCAGCGCTGCTCTGTGACATGCAGGGCAGGCAGGAGAGAGAGCCGTGCAGGGAGGAAGCGCAGGGGCATGCAGAGTGCACGAGAGGTGTAGAGGAAGTGACCGTGGGCCTGGTGGGGGCGGATGGCAGCACGAGAGAGGTGCGGCTGCTGGGGATGCGAGTTGTACTTAATGGGGGGGTTGCTTCCATGTGCCTGTGTGTGTGGGGGGGGGTGGGGACGGGGAGGGACGAGGGGGGGTGGGGTGGGTGTTTGTGGGGGGGGGGGGAGGAGATGGGTAGATGTGGCGGAATGCATACATGGTCGTTCTTTTATTCTCTTCCTCTGCCCCATGTTACGTCCCCATTTGTGATTTGTGAGTTGACTCACAAGTCACAGTCACCCATCGCAGCCACCTTCTGTTGCGCTCCCCACTCGTTGCATCCAATCCCTTTGCCGTTCCCGTGGCAGCTCACAGCTCTCATGCTGGCGGGTCTCGGAGCACACGTGCACTTGCTTCCCAGACCTCTGGATTGCCCGCCCACTACTGACGCCCGTGCTGCTGAAGAGGGAACAGGCAGTGCAGAGGGGAGCTGCGAGGATGCAGCGAGGGCGTGGAAGGAGGGGGGAGGGAGAGGTGGTGTGGGAGAGGGAGGGGATGAAGAAGAGGGTAGGGAGGGGATGCCATGCGTGGTGGTGGTGAATGAACAGGACCTGTGGTGGCAGCAGGGCGGGAGAGCAGCAGCAGGCATGCGCTGGGACAGGGACAGTGAGCCTGATGCGCGCAAAGGTGATTCCCAGTGTGGATGGAGTGGGCAGCTGGGTGGGCAGGGGGGTGGGGACAGAGGTGCATGTGTGGTGGCTCTGGCACCAGGGGAGGCGATTGCATGCCAGGACAATGACAGTGACAGCAACAGTGAGCCTGATGCGGGTAAGGAAAGTTACCACCAGTGTGGGTGGACCGGGCAGCAGGGTGCGCAGGCGGGTGGGGGCAGAGGGGCGGGGGTGGTGGCGCTGGCGCCGGGGGAGGCAGCAGCATGGCAGGGAGCAGCAGTGGGGCTTGTGAGGCGCTGCATGGCAGCACACAGGGCTGAAGGGAGAGCGACGCTGGGTGGGTGGAGGGGGACGGATGGGGAAGCAGGGAGAAAAATGAGGTTGGGTGGACGGGCAGGGAGGAGGTCGAAGGGGAGAGGGGAGAGGCGGCCTTGCTGGGATAGAGTGGCAGGGATTGTCATTCTCGCTGCATGCTCTGCTGGATCCACTCGGGACGAGGGGGACGGGGAAGGGGTGGGGGAGAGGCAGGAGGAGGGTGAGGGAGGCGAGGGGGTGGAGGAGAGAAACAATGCAGGAGGGGGGGAGGAGGAGGAGGTGTATGGTGAGATAGGAGGGGCAGGGAGCGTTGGTGGACTGGAAAGAGCATCTCACGGTCCATGTGCCGCTGGTGTAGCCTCCTCGTCACCTCTCATTGCATCTGCACGAGCTGCTGCTCCCCGTGTGGTGGTGTGTTGCCGCCCGCTGCTCTCCCACCGCCTGCACCACGCCGTCCAGGTGAGGAGCTTGATTATGCTGGACCGCACTGCATGGCAGCCAAGCTGGCAATGAGTATGCCCATGCAGCTGTAGGAGTGTGCCCATGCAGCTGTAGGAGTAAGCCCATGCAGTGAGCCGGCTGTCGCCTGCTGGGCTTTGAGCTCTTCTGCTGTCATCTGCACCTCGCCCGCCATCGCGGCTCCATCCACACTCACCGTTCACCTCGCCTCATCACGCCCATCTTTTCCCACCCCAGGTGGCAGCATTCGGAATGGATTGCAAGAGCGCATGCCATGGCAGCGCAGGGTGCGAGTCGCAAGATAGTTCTGAGCCTGGCATGCAAACAGTGCAGGGCAGGCAGCAGGAGAGCGGCAAGGGGAGGTTAGATCAGCAGAGTGCAGGCAGACGGTGGAGTGAAGAGAGGGGCAAGGAGGGATGCGATGAGCAGCAGTTGCCTGGCAGCAGCAGGGATGAGACGGGGGGTGATGATGCAGGGTGTGGCGAGTCCACTCAAGGTGGCAGTTTGCAGAGTGAGATGAGTGAGTGTGCTTCCGAGAAGGTGAGCGTGTGCACAGTGGTGAGGAGCGTGAGTGAGCATGCTGCAAGCTTGGCACGAGTGGAGCCTTCTATCTTTGCAAGGCGAAGGGCAGCAGCAGCGGCAGCAGCAGGGGCGGCAGGGGGGGTGGTGGCGGGGTGGCGCGTGCTGGTGGTGGACGACACGGCAGTGAACCTGCTGGTGGCCCGCCGCACTCTCACCCGCTGCGGCGCCACCGTCAGCACGGCGGGCAGCGGGGAGGAGGCGGTGCGGCGTGTGGCGGCGGCTGTGAGTGCGGCAAGCGATGGCGCGGCGGCGGATGGCAGCGCTGAGCTGGATGTGGTGCTCATGGACCTGCAGATGCCCGCCATGGACGGGTGAGTCGTGCCCAGCGGTGGTGAGTGGTGGGCATGGATGGGTGCGTGGTGGGCATGGATGGGTGAGTTGTGCTGCGTGGTGGTGAGTGGTGGGCATGGATGGGTGAGTTGTGCTGCGTGGTGGTGAGTGGTGGGCATGGATGGGTGAGTGGTGGGCATGGATGGGTGAGTGGTGGGCACATTGTCAACCTTCAATGGAAATCTAGAGCGATCTCCCATGTGTGACAACTACGTGGATGAACGCAGTTGTATGGAGTGGAACAGCAAGGATAAAATCAGCGGTGATACTCAAACAGGAGGGTATTCAAACTCTCGGTGCCAGTAAACCCCAGACAAGTGGTTGGTGAACGCAACTCAGTGCTGGAGAGGGCTGCAGCCCTGAGTCCCACATACAATCGTAGTGCCATTGAGTCCCACATACAATCGAAGGGATGAAAATGAATGAATATTCACTGCCTTGCATATTCACTGTCTTTGCATAAGCTTCTGTCTGATTTTCCTCCTCACAGCACCCTACACACCCTCTGTCTCTGCTGCCTGTGCTGTGCTGCCTGTGCCGCACTCCTCCCAGGTTCATGGCAACAGAGGCGATACGCGAGCTCGAGAGGTCTGCAGCTCTGAGCTCCACCCCGACAGCACAAGCAGCAACTGACGGCGGTGCACAAATGCACACGCAGGGTGGTGCTGCATCTCATTCTCTCGCTCCAGTCACCACGCTGACACGAGTGCCCATACTGGCTCTCACAGCAGATGTGGATGCTCACATCACGCAGCGGTGCCTTGCCAGTGGCTTCGATGGCATTTTGCAGAAGCCCATTGACCCCAAGCAGCTCGCCAATCTAATGCTACGAATAGAAAAGCCTCCCCCGTTGGGACCCTTACGAACAATTTCACATCCGACATGATGCTTGTTGTGTGCAACACTTTGATCCCATTTATCCCACTTTGGTTACCATGCTCAAACTATAGGTTCGATTTGATGAACACTTTCGAAGCTGCTAGGAAGAGATCCAGGAGTACACACGACAATTTTTGAGCATATGCAACGAGATAGACGACATCACGGAAACAGAGATGCGCGATCACTACCTCGAAGGGTTGAAGTCGGACGTAGCAGAGATCATTGTGATTCACGGGTTGTCCACCTTCGAGTCAGTAGTCGCAGCTGCAGAACACGTTGATGCAGTATGAAGCCGACGGGGTCGTAACGATCGCGATAGGGGATACAAAAATCCTGCCAAAAATACTCGATCGAGGGACGGACCATCTCCCATAAATATTGGTGCAGTTAGCAATGACGTCTCACAGCGCACAGGATTTAGGGGGAACTGTCATTACCGTAAAGAGCCGGGGCACATGAAGCGGGACTGTCCACAGCTTAAAGAGTGGCAGTATGTAGCGGGTCGCTAGCTGGTTTGAACACTTCCGAACCCGCCAAGTTTACCAACGTAGAGGAGACGGCCTTAGAGGAGTCATCTACGTCGAAGGTAGACTCTGTAGATCACCCAGTCATGCTTCTTGTTAAGCTTCGTGGAGTTCTAGTCAAGACTTTCGTAGTTAGCAGAGCTAGCCACTCGTTTGTCTCATCTTCGCTAGTTAGTCATCTCCATCTTGAAGCAGATTCGGCATGTAACTTCAAGGACGCTTGCATGGTAGATGGGACACCTCTTCACATAGGACCGATCATTCGCAAGTTGCGCATTGTGCTAGGAGCGATCAAAGTCATACATGATTTTGATTCTGCGACGCGGGACAGTTACGACATCCTCTTCGGTATGGATTGGCTACGGATGGTTAGTACTCAGTTCGATTGGGATCAGGGAAGCAGCAGTGCCAAGGTAGACGAGGAGTTCCGGGAGCTGCCATATTGGAGCGATGGTGCTGCATCATCCACAGCTATCATCAATGCTGTTCGTGTGCGATAGCTGGTGAAGCGTGTTAGCGACAAAGGACGGAGTCTAGGAAGATTAGGGGCCGAAATGACTCAAAATCGTTGGTCTATAATTCTGGACAGAATTGTCGACTTGACAAGAAACGTCGTCGACAAAACTTTCACTGTTATAATGTTCTCAAGCTCGAGTATGTTATGGACCTTGACGGTGGCTATCTTTCCCAATTTGAATCGGATCAAAAGATGGAGTATAACCCGAGTTATGTATTTCGGCGCACCAGGGGGTATGCTGCCATAGAAACTTAACTCAATAACAATTATCTCACAACAACCACACAAGAGAATTAGAGTACCAATGATCCAGGTAAGAGGGGATGAGGAGGACGAGAGGGAAGGTCCAAAGAGAGTCCCCAATTATGGAAACCCCATACCACACAATTCCCCTCCCTATAGGCACCCCAACTTTGACATTTCTCACTTTCCCAACCCATGCCATCCACCTCACCCAACTTGGTCACACTTGCCAACCTGGTTTGGCTTCTCCCAGCAACTACAGTAGAAGTGACGAATTTGCCAACCCCCAATGGTCTATACCCCTTATGGAGTCACCCCACAAATTCCCAAAGTTGCTGTAACCAAATATAAGAAGCATACAAACTTCAACCGTTCGTAACTTTCTCGCTCGTGCTCCGATTGAAGCGATCCTTGGTTCGTCGGAATGCTCTCGAGCAGAAGAGTCAGTTCAGATATCTGCTCAAGCAAAATAACACACACACACACACACAGAAACTCCAAACCACGCCAAATACAAATTCTTGCACACGCTCACACCACGCATGCAACGCACGAACATAAGATGGGAGGCAGACAGACGTGAATGCAAATGATAGCATCACATAACAAAGCGTGCGACATCTTTGCAGTTGAGGAGGTGGAAGTTGATGAGGGGAAAGGAGGGAGCGCAGCATTTGGCAATAAGACAACCCTTCCTGCTGAAGTGAATGCACTCTTAGCAGACATCACAAAAGCCCTTCTATTGGATTGGTCCAAAGTTGGTCAAACTTTGGTGTGTCCGTCCTATATTGGACCAATATTGGTCCCTTATTCTGGTCCAAGCTTGGTATAGTTGCTAAGACGAACGTTGGACTATCTTTGGCCAAAGATAGTCTTCAGTAGAGCACCAAGATTGGTCCAAATGAAGTATAAGCTTTGACATGAATGCGTCTACATTTTGTCTAAAACTGGTCTGAATGGAGCCCCACTCTGGTCTAGGTTTTGGTTCTTTATTTATGTATTTTCAGGTGGAAATCAATTATGAAATCATATTAACAATAATATTATTGTCAGAACCATATTGTAGGCTGTAGTGGGGTTGACAGTATGGGGTACAACACTTTTAGGTTTGCATATTTGTACCCACCTGTTTCCTAGTTCATCCATTCCTCGTTCAATTCTCACATGGTATAGAGCGGGTTCCCTAGTGGGACCGTTTTTTTTTTAAGGGCCCACCACCTGATTTTTTTTTTCCTGCCCTGCCCGAAGCGCGCCTCGGGCTCTGCCCTACGGCCGCCCTTAGCGGCCCTTAGAGGCCCGCCCTGCCGCCCTTACGCGGCCCTTGGCGGCTCGCCCGCCCCTTCGTCACGGCCCGCCCGCCCCTCCCCTTCGTCGCGGCCCTGAGCGGCTCGCCCGCCCCTTCGTCGCGGCCCTGCGCGGCCAGCCCGCCCCTTCGTCGCGGCCCGGCGCGGCCCGCCCGCCCCTTCGTCGCAGCCCCTTCGCGGCCCGCCCGCCACTTCGTCGCGGCCCTACGCGGCCCTGCCCGCCCCTTCGACGCGGCCCTGCCCGCCCCTTCGACGCGGCCCTGCCCGCCCCTTCGACGCGGCCCTGCCCGCCTCTTCGACGCGGCCCTGACCGCCCCTTCGACGCGGCCCTGCCCGCCCCTTCGTCGCGGCCCCTACCCTGCAGCAGCAGCCGTCGCCCGCCTCTGCTGCCGTCGTCGCGCCTCCAGCCGCCGGAGCGACCGCCGCTGCCGTCGCCGCTGCGGCCCCGCCGAGCCGCGGCCCTGTCCTGCCGCAGAGCCGCGACCCTGCCCTGCCGCCTCGTCGCGGCCCTTACCCTGCTGGTGCGCCACGGCCCTGCCCCACCAGTCGCGGACTCTCCCCTCCCGCCACTGGTAAGAGCACCGCCGCACCCGCACCGCCCTACCGAGCCGCGCCGCCCCTGCAAGTCGCGCTGCTCCTGCTGCTACTGCTGCTGCTAGCCTACTGCTGCTGCCCCTGCAGTCATGGCTAGCCCTAATGTCCTTACCTTCGATGCTGAGGGTCGAGCGGTCAATTTTGAGGTCTGGGTCGATGATCTGCAGCTATTTCTGCAGTGCGATAGCAAGGACGGAGTCTCGCTTTTTGATCTCACATCTGGCGCCTCTACTGCACCTGCTGCTGATGCTGACAGTACTGTTCGCTCGCAGTGGACCACACGCGATGCTGCTGCCCGTCTTGCTATTCGTAGTCACCTGCCGTCTGCTGAGCGCGCGCACTTTAGCCAGTACAAGACCGCTAGGACTTTGTACGACGCTGTTGTTGCGCGCTACTCCTCCCCTGCCACTGGTGCCCTTAGCCGCCTCATGCTGCCGTACCTGTTCCCTGACCTAGCCGCTTTTGCCACAGTCGCTGACCTCATTACGCACCTCCGCACTAGTGACACCCGCTACCGCGCTGCGCTTCCTGCCGAGTTCTGCGCCGCGAACCCCCCCCCTATGTACATCACTCTCTACTACCTTGTCACCCGGCTCCCTGACTCCCTTCGCTCGGTCAGGGACCACTTCCTCTCCCTTTGCCCCACCACACTCACCGTTGACCTCCTCGAGGAGCGCCTCCTAGCAGCCGAGAAGAGTATAGTCGCTGTAGGAGCCTCTCGTGGTGACCCTCGTGCCCCTTTCTTTGAGGGGTGCTCCCCTGTTCCCCATTTGCCTTCTGTTGCCTCTGCTGCTGCTGTCGACCTCGTTGGCACCGCAACGGCAGGAGCAAGGGGGGCAAGGGTGCTGGAGGAGACGGCGGGGGCGGCGGTGGTGGCGGTGGAGGCGGCGGAGGGGGTGGGGGTGCAGGTGGGGGTGGTGGCGGGAGTGGGGGCTTCGGTGGGGGCAGTGGAGGTGGAGGCGGCGGAGGCAGCGGCAGTGGGGGTGGAGGTGGCGGCGGCGGAGGCGGCGGTGGGGGTGGCGGCGGCGGTGGTGCTGGTCGAGGTGGCGCTGTGCAGCGGGGAGGCTTTGGTGGTGGACAGCGCCAGCAGCAGCAGCGCCCTCGTGAGACCCTGTCGCCCCAGCAGCTTCGTGAGTGGTACGCTGGGCGTGGGAGGTCTGGGGGTGCTGGTCCCTGCACTTACGTTCTCCGCACCGGCGACCGCAGTGGGGAGACGTGTGGAGGACCGCACGCCACACTGCGCTGCTTTGGCCGCCTGACTGACGCTTGGCGTACGCAGTTTCCCGACTCCTCTGAGATCCCTCGCTGGGGTGATCTGCTTAAGTCGGGGGTTGCTATCTTTGATCTTGATTATGAAGCTATCCTTGCTGCTATGTATGCTGTGTCTATTAGTGCTGAGGGTGACTGTTACCTGTGTGTTCCGCCCGACCCGGGCATTGAGGCTGCTGCTCTAGGTGCTAGTGAGTCTGCTGCCCCAGGTACTGGTGAGTCTGCTCTCTCAGGTACCGTGTCGGCTCAGGCCTTACACACTTTCACCCTTGACTCGGGTGCTTCCCGCTCCTTCTTTCGCGACTGCACCACACTCTCGCCGCTCAGTCGGCCGGTGGCAGTCTCTTTGGCTGACCCCTCTGGGGGTCCGGTCCTTGCGCACTCCTCCACGGTCCTGCCTTGTCCGGCGGTCCCGTCTGGCTCTCTGTCTGGCCTCCACCTCCCCTCGTTCTCCACGAACTTGGTGAGTGGAGCTGGCCTTCAGGACGCCTGGGTTGACTAGTTCACTCCTGGAGGTCAGCGGGTGACCTACTGTTCGTGTACTCGGACGGGC